GAGTTGGATTAGCCTCTCATAATTTCCGACATATTATGCCAGAAGTGGCTCTCCAGGTAACACTGTAGCGCCGAGGTTAGTGTTTATTAGAAAGCCACTCATCAAATGGAAGGTTGGCGAAATCAGAGAAAGTTCTCGAGGCGCTGCCATGCACCAACAATTGTGAAATGGATTCGCGATGCACGGTGGCATTCTGTTGATGAGACAGTGGAAAAAAAATAGCTTGCGTAGCTTTTTTTCATTGAATTGGCTGAGAAATCCAGCTCGTACATCTCAGACAAGTCTCAAATGGAATCTATGATTCGTTTCCTTTTCATTTGTCCTTCTTTTCATTCAAGCTAGGGCAAATAAGTAAAAATATCCACGAACTTTTCCCTCACTAGCATCCAGAAAGGTGTGGGAATAGCCGCAAGCTTTTTTTAACAAGGGCATAACTCTCCCTCCCGTTAAATTTTCCCTACCTTGACTGTCAAACTAGTATATTAGCAAACAGTAGACCATTTTCTTCATCCTCTCAACAAAATCCTCAGCTCTTATCAGTCTCACAGATCAAACATTAAGCAAGAAAACCATTTACATAAGAAAATTATCACATGTGATTATCACCGATTGCTCTTCTATTTCCTCCTCATTTATTTCGCTCGTTACCAAAATCGCAGCAACATCAGAATCTGTAGAGCAGAACAGCCGAACCACACGGAACAAAAATGGTGGTCTTGTCCAAAGCAAACTTGGGTTTCCTCCCTCTCGATCAAACCTCCTCCTCCGTCAATGTCGGCAATTCTCTTCAAGTAGAAGCTCACCCCGCACACTCTTGCAAAACTATATAATATAGACATATATTTTCAAGTCAAATGAATTTAAAACAGGAAAGGGAAAAAAATCACTACTTGATGCCCAATGGGGATAAAACAAACCTCAGAATCCCCTGTTTGAATGGATAAGCTAGTGAGTGAAAAAATCATCACATGTAGAAAGATAAACTGCACATTTTAGTGGAGAGATGTGAATCAGAAAGTGCTTCAGTACGCACCATGACCCGTTTGCGTTCTGGTCCACCGTTGCGGGTTGGGTTGATGGCTGGGGAGAGAAGTAAATCAGAGAATGCTTCAGTACACATCATACCCTGTTTCAGTTCCGGTCCACCATTGCGGGTGGGGCCAACGACCAGAGGGCGCAATCCAGGCCGGCACCACCCGGTCAAGAGGGTGTGCATAGTCTCCATCGACGGACCAGATGGTCGGAAGGTTCTAGAGCTGGGAAGTCGAATGTCAGGGCATCGATCCAGTAAACCGCTCTCTGCCTTCTCTGTGCTTTGAGGTTATGAAGACCTTAGTGTCGATTGTAACCAATCCTTTGTCTATCCCTTCTTACGGTACCAACAAAGTTCCCATAATATGTCAACAAGTGAAACTGACAGGATGGTCTGTTAACAGAGTCCCACCAGAGAAATTTAGGTAGAAAAAAATCTTATAATGATTGTGAATCAAAAGCCGATAGATCATAATGATTATTGCTTCTAACAAAGTTTAATATGAAAAATGCCCAAGTTTAAATCCTAGAGAATCTTATTGGAGTGCAATTTTAAAAAAATTATAGTTCCTCATGCTGAACTATAAAACCTACTCCTAAGTTACAACTCAAACTCTTAGATGAAAAAAGGTGACTGTTAAAAAAGGGGAAATGTTCACTAACCCAAAAAAAAAAAAAAAATCCTAATTTGTGGCACATTCTTGCAAGTACAGGTGCATGTTTAGCTTTCTATTTGTCAATAAGTTCCCTTGTTGAGTACATTTTCTTTGATTTTTATTGTAAAATATTTTTAACCGTGTATTTTAAAAAAATTAATTTTTTAATATCATTAAAAAATAATATATGATTTTTTTTATTCTTAACTTTAAATAATTATACAAATATATTAAATATTTTTATGTTAATTAAAAAAATTTGAAAAATAATTTAATTATTATAAAGTGTCGTACAAATAAAATGGGAGGGAGTATTTGCTAAGTTGAAGTTTGGTGAAAAAAATTAAGTATTGTAATTGAAATCATGTTTGAACATATTTTAAAAAATAATTTCAAAACTGTATAAAAAAAAAAATAGTTAGGTTAATCAATACCTCCCAATCCTTGTTTTCCCCTCGTTTCCTCGAGAGTCAGACATACAGGTTCATCAATATTTAGAGACTCATAAATTTAAATAAAGAGGCCATAATGATGTCAAGCTGTCTTTAGAACGCTCACTTTTTAAGACATGAGGAAAGCATGTATGAAGATCAGACGTTGGTTGTTTTGCTTTAGCACGCTCGTTGCACAAAGGTGAAGCCTAGATAAAAGTCCTGGATATTAAAAAAGAATAAAATAAATTAAAAAAGTTAAGATGAACATGAGTTACATTATCCTTCTCTTCATAATAAACATGATAAAACTCAATAATATATATTATAAATTTAAAAATCATAACACCTTTTAAAAATTTCATGAATTATGATTTCCAAACTCATAAACTAAATTACCCCTCTCCCTTATAAATATGATCATCCATTCCTTTTGATCATCTTATTTTTACCTTTTATTTTTTTAATCCATTTCATTTCATTTTATTCTAGTAAGCAAACATGACCAAATGTTTGCATTCACACCCTGCCCTACATTCAATCATCAAAACATTACTGTATATAAACTGTGTCATACATCCATATGCTCAAATATTACAGAAGCACATAGATTTTGACAATATAATGATAATTTTTTTTGAGAAAATTATTAGTGACAATCCAAGTAATAGGGCATATAATAATTCAGTCCAAAGAAATAATATCTAGCTTTAAAGAATTGGTTATGATATTGGATGAATTATAAATAACATTTCTGGAGTTTGATTGTACTATATGTTTATACAACATAAACTGCCAAAACATAATAATCGCACTACATTGAGAGAATTACTCTTAAGAGTCCATAGAACACTCTAAAATATCATAAAATCCATTTATAGCTCAACTACAGCAAATGAGTAATTTATAATGTTGTGGGGACCTGAGAGTAGTTCTCCCTTTCACTTCTTAAAAATTCATGATGAATAGGGACTTTAGATGAGGAAGATACTCAACAAATGTTTGAAGAAAAACAATCAAGACAACAAATATTGATACCAGCACATTGTTGTGATTCAATGTCTCAATTATGGGATATTTTCAAAATGAGAATAAAAGGTTGAACTCTATATATCAATATCAGTCCCAAAATAAAACAGACAATGTAATATAAAGGGTTAATGTACATTTTTTTTCTTAAAGTATTTTTCAAGAAGTATCTAGCACCATAATATTTTTGTTAGAATAATTTTATCCTTAAAGTTATCAAAACATAATATTTTTGTCCTTTTCGTCAAAATTTCAATGTTGATATCAAACGTTGATCGTTAAAAAATTTGACAAAAATGACAAAAATATTCTGTTTTAATAACTTTAAGAATAAAACCACTTTAATAAAAATGTTAGGGTGTTGAGTATTGATTGAAAAATACTTTAAGAGTAAAAATATACCTTTACCCTAATATAAAACCATAGAACTTCATTATTATATAGAGATAAAGTAATGAACCTGTCTAGTTAATTAAGTTAATGTGCACCAAAAGCAAAGAAAGAGGTGAATGCATGAATAATTCTGAGTAATAGGAAAGCTGATATAAATGCCAGATTACTTGAATGGTCATTGTTTTTTTGTTTGAATTCAACTGGCTTTCTATGTGAAAAAAAAGTAGTATATCAAATTACTAAGAACAAAAAAAGGGAGATTAAATTTTTCCAAATTCTAAAGTAAAAAGCTCCAATCCTAATATTAATCTTTCCAAACCAATTCTTAACGACCAAACATACAATGAATGAAAAATTATCAACTTCACTGGTGAGAAAGAGAAAGAGAAGAAAAGAAGTATTACCCTTTGGGGCCTTATTCTTCTCCATGTTCATCTACCAAGCCATCTTTGATTTTTGACAATCACCAGCCCCCATGTTGGGTAGCAGTAGCATAAGAGGAAACCCTAAAAACCCTAACCGACCTTGTCAAAAGGAAGTCTCAAAGAGGAGCGATTTTGAGCGCTATTGTGATAATTTTTTAAGGAACCTTACGAGCAGATGCAAAGGTGAAAACATGAATGTATAATAATTGGAATAATCTAATTTTTAAAGTTTGTGTTAGATAATTAGTCTGTATACCCCACAATCATTGACGTATATACAAGTATACATCAAATTTAACTAATGTTTGTACGAAGAAAAAGGGTTGGCAACGAATTAAAAAAACAAAGAACAACATTTTTTTTTTTGCAATCCAGACGATATAATAGGATTTTATAATTTAGGTGTTTGTTCAAAACTTTATATATCTATGTATGTATTTGAATTAATTGATATTAAAGAAATAATTTCTAAAAAAATTCCAAATAATATAGATTTGTGACTTTTAAGGAAAAAAATGGAATGTGAGTCCCATATTTTATATAAAAAAATTTAAAAATTATTCATAATTTATAGATAGTATGTTTTTTCTGTTGACATTTACAAAATTAGAACAACTACACGTAAGTCCGTAGAGTTGATGGCTAACTAAATATAGATATGTATTCACAAAAAAAAAAAGATATTTGATTATGTAGACAATATTCATTACCATGCTTAACATATTTTAATTAAATTTTTATATATTTACAAAATGTATATACTTTTATAATACAATTTTCTAAAAAATATTTTTTTATTCTTGCTATCATGGTTTTAGAATTAAAACATAAACATATATATTTTCGCATCAATATGCTAGTAAGTAGTGACGATAAATGTAGCTATCATGAGCATTAGTACATTCGAATACACGCTTATTACAGGACGATCTCGCCTAAATCATGACATTCCGCACGCAAATGTGCAGATGTAATTTGTCTTTACCTGAAGAGTAGAGGCCCTATCTCTTGTCGTAGTAAGTATTACCATATAGCACTATCTTGGTGGCGGTGGCAGGGTCGTTTTCTAACACCGACCGATAAATCGCCGAGTAAAACAAGTTTGCGGACCGACACCTAATTGCACTGTGAGATGCAACCCAGAATATACCTTCCTCTTGAATGCAAAATTCTTTTCTTCTCTTGGTGATTCCCATCATCTCTATACACTCGTTCGCATTCGTTTATAGACCACCTAACCCCCTTCTCTTCCCCTCCCCCCCCCCCCAAAATCCTGTAATTCATGGAACTTTTGTGGGAATTTGCTCTGACACTGGCTGTTTCTTTTCTGCTTCCATCAATTTTCTTTAAGCTTTTCTCTGTTGCTTCCAGTGATGACGCTGATGATAAAGTAGTCATAGCCTCTCGCGATCATGGGGTTTCATCAGATGATATTCACAAAACAGAGGAGGTTGTTCTGATCGCCAGAAACTTCGATGAATTTAGAGGTGAATCAATTGTCGGCAAGCTATTGGAGGCGAATTGCGGATCCCCCAAAATACATAATGCAAAGAAGATTGATGAGAACGGAGTCTTCAGTGAAATTGAAGTTGTTGAATTGACAGAGGATCACGTTGATGAAAGTAACCAGAGGAGTCAGATTAGCGAAGGGGACAAAGAGGTTGAGATCTTGAACCCAGCTTACGATGGGAGCTGCAATGAGATTGATGAGTCTCATAAGAAGGGAACGGATGACGAAGAAAGGAAAGAATGGTTGGAAGAGGATGATTGGGAGGGAATAGAAAGTACTGAATTGGAGAGGCTTTTTGGTGCTGCAGTTTTATTTGTTGAGTCTAAGAGCAACGCTAATCGAATAGCGAATCTTGGCAACGATGTAAAGATGCAGCTATATGGATTTCACAAGATCGCCACTCAAGGGCCTTGCCAGAAACCTCAGCCAATGGCACTGAATTTCTCTGCTCGAGCTAAATGGTATTTAGTTAACTTTTATAGGTTCTGTAATCGCTTGTTCGTTTCTTCACTTAGCCATTCATTCCCTCGCAATTTTTTCTCCCTTCACCCCCCCAATGTTTAATCCAAGCCCTTTGGGTCTCTCTTAGTTATAGTTATCAGTAATCTCCCTCTCTCTTTTTGTGTGGAAGGAATGCTTGGCAGCAACTTGGGATTATGAGTCAAGAGCTGGCGATGGAGCAATACATCACTGTTCTTTCAAACAGCATTCCTGATTGGATGCCAGAAAATTTTATCGTAAGTCCATATTTTTACTCCAAATGAGTCAAACTTTCCGCATTTCTTCACCAACTCGGCCCTAGTGACTACTGATTACTGATCAGTGAGGTTGGGATTGATTGTATCTTGGAGTTTACCACTGAGAATTTGGGATTGGTCATTACAGGCAATAAATAAATCGGGTGGTGCAGAGATCCAAGCATTTGAATAGCCACAATTTGAGGGCATAAGCTGCCAAGCTAGACAATTGTATAACAAGGTATTTCTGAAGCGATACTTTCCATTTTTTTTTTTACGGTTTAGAAATTGAAAAGAATAGAGATCCCCAAATTTGTAGCAGATTCGGGCTTTTGTGAATGTCCAAGCGCGAACTGATACCTTCTATTTCGAAAATATGAAACAGAACAGCATATGATGGCAATGGAGTCACGCTTTCCGTAATTTCCTGCCTGCTTCTTATCGTCAGCTTCAACGTAGTTCTTCTGAGATTGATACATACATGTATATGGGTAATGAGGAAGGATACGGATTTCAGTTGTAGTTGTAGGGTTGTGACTTGTGAATAATGCATTGTATTATTGGATAACTTTTCCCTCTCTAGCCCTCGCCTAATGCCAGTCAGGCCATGCGCACGCCATTTACCAAGTTTGGGAATGATTTAATAAAATGATGATATTCTTTTCGCAGCATTTTTTAGCTTGACTCTCTCTCTTTGCAAGGGATTTTACAATTTCCCCATATATTTAATTTAAAAATTGATTTCTTTTTTCTATGTGAGCAAGAGTTCCGTCATATAATGTTGTTGAAGGCATACAAATATACTTAAGAATAGAAATAAAGAAATAAATATGAAATAGTACAAGCTTACACAATTTTTTTCTGGAAAATATAATGTGAGTAAACATTACGCGACTCAAAACTTCCATCGTCTGTAATATTATGGAAATAAATAAATAAATAAATAAGCACCAGATAATTTTAATCGCTCCAATGTAACTGTGTAGAACCCAAATAGAAGAGCAAAATTAGGAGCTAATCACGTTAAAGAAGTCAAAATGAATATCTAAGGGTGGTTTCCATTCTCAGTTTTATTTTTAAAAATTGTTTCCCAGTACAGTTGCAAAGTTAGAAGCTAATCATGTTGAAGAAGCCAAAGTGAAAATCTAAAGGTGGCTTCCGTTTTCATTTTTTTTTTAAAAAAATTGTTTTGCAATTCAGTTTTCCAAAACCGTTTTTCAAAACAAATAAAAACAATTATTTGGTTTGTGTTAATTTAAAAATAATTTAAAAATTTAAAATTTGATCGCGCTCATTGGCAATTAATGGTAATAGTTTATGATAATTGTTGATTAAAATAACTATAATTTTTAATAATCAAAATTTTGAAAATAAGAAAAATAAAAAATAGCTTTAATTTTTTTAAATAAAAATAAAAAAAATTAAGAAACAATTAGAGTTAAAACACTTATCCAAATAATTTTTTTTAATTTTTTTGTTTTAAATAAATTGGTCTTGAATTAAAACCAAACATGCCCTAATATTCTATGGGTGTAAAAAAAAAAAAGAAAATAAAACACTTGGGAGAAGTCCATAATTTATTCGTGCAAGCATTTTACTAAGGAAGAATATCAATGGGCCTACGAAATAATTTAATATTAAACAAGAATTTGGTCAAAATAAATACTTGTTAAAACTTAAAATTTCACTTGTCAAATGTATACTTCTTACAAGTCCTTACCTGATATTAAATCATATGAAATGATATTCTCCCAGCAACCTTCCTCTTTCTGCTTAGTTCATTTGTGCAGGAGTAGTATATTCTATCACACACAGATACCCCCCAAAACACGCATACACACAAGTTGTCTAATTGATATGGAACGACAACGACTTTAATTCTCGTGCGCGAGGAGCGAGGAAAACGACCAAAAGCGCGAACCAAAGGACGCATTTGTCCCCGCCTCTTCAGCCTAGCAACGGGACTGTTTTATATTTCGTCCGGATTTGTAAGCAGAATAATGGCATGGGCGTAACCGAGCAAATCCCTTGGGTGGATCCAATAATCCTCTCCGCTTTGACTGTGTTCTTCAGCTCCCTCACCTTCATCTGTCCGTCACGATCTACGATCAATCCTGGATCCTAACATATGGCGGAACTTCTTGCATTCACGTCCTCTGTATCTAAAGCACGAGATATTAAAAAGCCAATGGGAGTGATCTTTGAGAGCTCAGTTTGGGAACCGAATCCATTCTTGTTCATCTTCCTTTTCTTCTGTTGCTGCTTCTCAAATCTCAATCTTCCCTCTTCCTTGTGCCTCGATCTTCAACAGACCTTCAACAATATTCGACCGTGAAATTTCTTCCTTTCCACGGAAACTTCATCTTTCTTTACTCTCTTGCTTCAGGTCAGTCGGCTATTCATGCTATTATAAGATTATTTGGTTTCCAAAAAAAAAAAAAATGTGCGAACAGAAAAGGAAACTTGGAGTTTCAATTCCTTTTGTTAATGGCAGCACAACTTACAAAAAGTAAAACAGAAGCCTCAATAGAGCTTAGTTGTCCTTATTTTCTGAGTTGAGATCCGAATTTCTCCGTAGTTTTTAACATACGTTTCTTTCGTCCTGGTAACCAAATATTGAAATTCGTTGCTATTTTCTCTTTCCGGCTATTAATTATTCAATTTTGCTTCGGATTGATGATGTGAATGCCGATTTCATTTACCTCTCTGTCGTCAGTGGTGGAAGATCTGTGGTCAGCATTGGGAGAGTTTGAGTTAGTTTCTCTAATGGAATCCGAAGGGAGCTAATGGTCATGTCTCTTTGTTAGGGATATGCATCGGCCGCCTTAGCAGGCCCTTTCCTTGGCGTGCTCGCGGATTTAATGCAAGTATCTAGTTGAAGTCGCTGATGATCACCTAAAATATTTCTTTGTAATCCAGCGCTTAATAATACAAGTTCCAATTTCTGCATGCATATTTGTATTGCAGTAATGCTGTATTATGATTTGTTTTGCCGTGAATGTGATTTTCTTCTTTAGCGCGCTTCTTTGCAGTTAGCAATATATATTGAAGTATTTTCGGTTGTATTTCAGTAGACATTAATTACGATGATACTAAAAGAGAACAAACTTGCATCAGTCTTTGCATGGCCAATTATTAGGAATTAGAATGGTTATATAGTTGGAACTATATATTTTGTGGTGTCTAGCTCTTATTCCAGTGGACTGTTTTACTTTTTGATGTCTCCACCGATTCGGTCAAGATATCATCCTGCATGTCATTTGAATTTTCAAGCATGTCTCCCTCCCTATGTTAGACATGAACCCTCCTAATTATTGTATCTTCAAGACAGGTACATGTTTTTTTCATTTTTCTTTTTTCCCAAAAAAAATAAAACAGAGACACAGAGAGAGAGAGAAGGTGGTGTTCTGATGTTCTGACATGATGAAACTGACTTAGTTAATATATTTTTAGAGGTCACAAGAAAGTTTGTCTGGTCTTTTTGTTCTACACTTCTTGGTTGGCATATGGGAGAGGATGTTGGAAAATCAAAGCATTTTTGTGACTCGGATGTGTCTATCACTTACCAATACAGTATTTTTATTTACTTTCGTGACTTGGTTTATCACTAAACATGAAGAGGTAAAGAAAATACTTTCTCCTGTTATGTTGATTTTCAGAGACACAGATTTTAGTATAGATAACTTTGCCATGGGCAGTGACTGAGATCGGGGTTTATTCCATTAAACAACACTTGATCCAGAATTTTTAACTGTATTTGGCAAGTATGTGATTTCCTATGACAGAATATAGAGATGAAATATTAATGTGGACTCTCATGTATTTTGGTTGCAGCAAGGGCATAGGTTAGATTCACTTAATGACGCATTTTGGTTAACGACTTTCTTTGAGTCTGCATGTTCTATTGCTGCCCAAATGTTAGCAAATTGGCTGCGTGGCTATGATGCGGAGAGAAACATTGCTTTTCCTTCCATGAGGGATATCTTCTTAGCAATAATATCAATTGCTTTTCTCTCTAGAGGATGGACAGAAATCCCACAAAGAGCATCTTTTAAGGAGTGCAGTATGTCCTTCTATGCATATATAATTGGTGGTAAGACTTGCTTTTTATGTTCTTGTTTGCCATTTGTTTTTTCTCCTGTTTCAAACAGTTCAATATCATTTAAAATTTTGTTGGTAATTTTTTTATAAATTTTTTAAAATACATATCTTTCTTTTAATTTCTTCTTCTTTTCATTTTGATCTAGCTGTGTACCTGATTATCTTCTCTAGCTTTGACCAACACTTGGTCTTTGAATCATTTTCTGCTCCTACTAAAGCTTTTTTCTTTATTATTAACCACCAATTACTTCTTTCTTGTTGCAAAAGAACCTGCAACAGAAAGAAATCAACTGCAAAATGTTAGAGCAGGAGATGCATTTTTAGGGGGGACGAGCCAAGGAGGGGCAAAAACTTATGTTCGATGCACATATTATTTTTAATATAATTTCAACATTTATTAAATTACTATAATAATAAAATTAATTAAAATTTAAAATTATAGATGCATATAATAATTAAAAAATCAAATAAATATAATATTATCAAAATAAATAAATTACTTCAATGTAAAGAAATCATAGGTTATTATTTATTTTTTTGGCCAGAAAGAAATCATATATTAGAAGTGATACAATGTGCATTTGTTATTAGAAGCATACTTTGATTCTTTATCAAAAAAATCCATCTATAATCTTCTCTATAGTGACATTCTTTAAATAAATTCTAATTTAATTAGTCAAATTATTTGTAAAAAGTCATCTTCCATTTTATTAAAAAAATCTATTTGACAGTTAAAAAAAAGTATGGTTAAAGAGAAAAAAGTAATGTTGCGAAAGATTGAAAATCAGAGAGTGGAGAAGTAATAATGTTTTTAAAAACATATTTAAGTTTTGAAAATATTAAAGGGAAGCAGGGAACAGATAAAAAATTTTAAGGAGGCACATTTAGCCATTTTTAAATGAATGATGTTATATAAAATGCATAATAATATTATTATTATTATTATTATTATTATTATTATTATTTTCGGCCGGGGGGGGTGTTGTTATCTGTCCCTAGGTCCAAATGGTTTAAACTTTAAGTAGGAACTTTTGGATTTGATGTCTAAGTTCTCCAACAGCATGGGGATATATGTTGCAATTCCTGATTGCATATAGCAAACTTCTATTCATTATTCCTTAAAAAATAGCAAGGTTCTGGTACTTGTAATCTTTTCAATGGAACTTGGCCATGTTGTCAGTCGATATAGCAAACTGTGCATGCTAATAGTCAAATGTCTTTGCAAGAAGTTATGGAATGATTATATATGTCATTGATCGTTTTTTGTTATACTAACACAGTTGTGCTATGGCCAAATGATTATGTTCATATTAACATTATCCTGAAAATTCTCATAAATGCATACAGAATGATTAAAGAACTTGCTGGATTCTACTAATGAAATTTTCTTGTTAATTCTGTTTTTTCCCCCATGTAATGTGGTAGTTTACTGAAAACAACATGCTGATGACTATTCTATAATTAACGGATAAAAGGATATGGTTGTTGGCTTGGGCACAATCTTGCCTTCACTTTTCTGTTAGAATTTTTCGGATCCTCTGGGAACCTACAGTGGTGGTAGGATGTTGTAACCTAAAAGAACTATTTAAACACCGTTATAATAGTGTATGAAGAACATACTTGAAACATTGAAACTGTATTTTATTGCATACAATTTCTTGGCTTGCTTTCCTTTCTTCTTTAGGCTTCCTTCCATTCATTAAATGTTAGCATGGAATTAAAAAAGGAAAATATAACGGTTCTCAGGCCATCATCGTGGGAAGTAAGGAGCGACAAGATGGAGCCACCGGTGACACCCGTACAGGAGGGAGGAAAATACATTTCAGAACCAATGAAGCTCAACTTTTAGGCAGTGCAGAACTAGACAGGCTTGTGGTAAGTAAGGGCCTGCTGATAACTGATTGACACTTCAAATTCAATGTCTGTTTCATCCCTTTGATCTTTAGGAGAATATCACCAAAGGACCACTGGAGCTATTTTATATCAAAGAAGAGCTTTAAGATTATAATTTTTCACTGCACCCCCTTAGTCCCTAGCTGCAATAAGTTTTTATGGGAAATGACCGAATTATCCCTAAAATTTAAAGTAACAAGTGTTCATCCTACATAAGCAACAAATCATTTGAGTTTTGATAATAATTAATTCATAATTAACAATACATTTGAAATTTAACAAAATTGAAAAAACAACATGAGTTTAATGAAACAAGTGTTCACCTTGCACAAAAATAATTCATTTAGATTTTGACAATAACCAATTCATAATTAACAACAACACATTTAGAATTCAACAAGATTGAAAAACTAACAAAACATAGGTTTAATAGAACAAGTGTTCATCTTACATAAACAAATTGTTCAAATTTTGACAACAATATATTTGGATTTTAATAAGGTTGAAAAACTGATATCATGAGTTTCATAAAACAAGTCATTTGGGTTTTGACAACAATAAATTCATGCTTGAAAACACATTTGGATATTAACCTCTTTCATTAAAAAGGAAAATTAAGTCATTTCTTATAAAAAATTATTTTTAGCTAAGGACCAAAAGGTGCAGTGAAATATTAAAATCTTAAGGCCCTTCTTTGATATAAAATATTTTTAGTAGTCCTCAAGTGATATTTTCCCTAGATCCTTTGTGCATAAGACCATGGTCCACTGGAGCATGTGGGCCATCAGTAGGTATGCAGGAGTAGAGGCTTCATCGTTGTAGCTTGTTTCCTTTTGCTGCATGTTGCTGTTTGGACTTGTGCTTATGGAGATCTAGCCGACCAAGTAAAGCATTTGAAGCCGCAATTACTGTTATGAAGCTCTTGGCTAAAAAAAATTTAAGCAGCCAGCCATGAGTTTTTTATTAACTGAAGCCACAATTTAGTTCGTGGTTCTACTTGAACTTCTCCCACCAAAATTTTGGCTAGTTGGCGGTTGGTTTGAAAACTTGGGAAATTGTTTTTCCACCGTGATATACATATAGTGACAAATAAATAGAATATTTTAAGCATTAGTGGGACTTCAGGTTGTCATGGGCTTCTGTTTGATGCAGAGGCATCGTCTTGATTATATTTAGCATTAGATAGACTGCATTATTTGCCCCCAAAAAAAAAAACGTTGTAGATTGCATTATTGAGGAAACCCGTTATTGTACATAGATGTTTCAGTGTATATATTTTGGAGATCTCGCAAGAATTCGAAAACTATAAAGCTTTTCACAAGCTGTTGTAAAAGTTCAAGCGCAACATGGTGATCATCTGAAGTCTGCCTGTACATTCTCAGCATCTCATGTTGACATTTCCCCCCATAAATGCACCAGACCCAAAAGATTCAAACGGCACAATCGAAAGACCGTCAAAAGCTTTTCATTAGTATGACCCTACAAGAGTGTCAAAAATGAACCTAAATCAAAGCAGAGAAATGAAAACTAGGATCAACTTAAAATTTTGTAGCGCAATCTCAAGTACAATACATCTAATCAAATTGTTCTTGATCCCTTATCCACTTCGTTGCCACCCACTTCTCCCCTTTAATCACAGGGCAGCTCCCGTGAAGTGATGTCTGTCCCAGCATTCAAAGAAAGGTGATCATTAAGAAGGCCGCTAAATTAGTAGTTTGCAAAGACGAGTCCCTATAAATAGTCGAACTTAATATCTTCTAAATCTTTTGACCTGATATACTTATTCCCCCCTCCCCAAATACCCTCATGGGGTTATATCTTGGAACCGCGATAACCAGAATTAAAAATATTATCATTGGCAAAGAGTGATTATTTTCTCTTCCATAATTAATTAGTATTGCTGAAGCTTTTTATATCCAGTCGCTTGACACCTGATTTGTTAACATCAGCTTTAGGGAAATGCCTTAGACAATAATCTTTTTTTATTTGCTGTGTTCTTAATTGTAGAATACAACATCTAATTTTATTCATTTCATTCTCAAATTCACTATTAATCACTTCAGCACTTTCAGCCTTTACAGATGAATATTTGATCATTTATGAAATCAATTTTAATCATGTATAATTTATTAAACTCAGTTCCAAATTATTTTTCAAATTAGGTTATTTTTCTCCATGGAAAGATTTTTCTTCTTTTCTTTTTTGGGTGTGCTTTATTTTTTGGGAAAATGACAAAAAAAACTTTAAAATATATAAATGACAATTAAATACCACGAAATGTGAGGGGCTTGTATGACATTTTAATTTTTGAAATGACATATTTGCAATTAGTAACCACTATGCATTGAAAAGTGACTGCTTTGATCAAGAAAATGATCAAAATAGAATAAAAAGTGACTACTTTTTTGCAAATTTATTTATCAATTAATGTAATTAAAGTAGTGATTTTCAGAAAGGAAGTAGTCATTTTTCTAATCCATTTATAAACCACAAATTTACATAAAAGTAGTCATTTTCTATTTCATTTTAGTCAATAGCTAAACCAAAATAATCATTCGCTCATGTATAATAGTCGTCACTGATTTTTCGTATTTATACTTGACTGATAAACAAAATTTTCAGAAAAAAGTAATCATTTTTTATTCAGTTTTAGTTAATAATCCAATCAAAGTAGTCATTCCCAACACAAAATAATTACCGAGAGCAAATATATCATTTTGTCAAAAATCAAAATGCTAAACAAGTCCCTTGGGACTAAATAATAATTATCTATTTTGGGAATTTTTTTTTGGTCATTCTCCCTTTTTTGGCGGGGGTTATCTTTTGCATGATTTAAAAAAAAAATGTTTAGCAGGCATATTTGCCTCACCCAGAAGACATAAATAGAGAGAGAATGTATCGACTATCGAGCATCAAAGCCGATACATAAATATACTAACCGGGTCAATTGTACCATTATGGAACAGTGAATAAAATAGGAGCCCATCTCCCTGGCGAGGCCTTACTCGTAAGCCTGTACATTCCTCGTAGTTGTAGCTGCCATCCATATTCTGGCCATTCTGCAGATTGGATAATTCGCTTACTGCCTAGGTATCCCATTAAAATTGGAATAAATGGAACTTAATATGCACAGGCAAATTAGATTTTACCTCAAATGGAAACATGGTCTCCCCGCCTTCCACAACATCGGTTAAATACAGCAAAAAAGAAGCCACCTGCGTGGTCAAACCAAACATATATTCAGAAATGGACTGGAGAGAATTATGACGAACAGTCTAAGAGACAGGAGAGGTCTTTCACAAAATGGCAATTTGTCCCCTTGAGTTTGGTAGTGAGGAGTCTGTCATTCATATTCTGAGAGATTGTCAAACAGCTAAAAATGTGTGGTCATCTATTATAAATCCTAACATTTCCTCTAGTTTCTTTTCTTGTGACTTGCAGGAATGGCTCAAGTGGAACATGAACAATCATGCGACTAACAGGGAGTTTAACAGATGGAAGTGGCACCAAGTCTACGCCTACACATGCTGGTTATTGTGGCTGGCAAGGTGTAAGCTAGTTTTTTGAAGGCAAAAGACAAATCCAAATCAGATCAAGCACATATGCATCCACAGACTTGTTGAAGACTCAACCATGAGGCTACATAAGGACACCATCTCAATACCCAACGTGATGAGTAACAGGATTTGGAAGCCCCCGCCTAAAGGAATGCTCCGTCTCCACGTAGATGACTCTGTTGTCGCCAATGAACATGTAGTGTGTGGTGGTACTGTTCGAGGTTCTCAAGGAAACTGGGTTTTGGGATTTAGACGAAGCTTGGGTCGATACCCAATAACAATTGCAGAGATGCTGGATATTCAGACGAGATTACAGATATGTAACCAACAAGGTCCTGATAAAATCCAAGTGTATAATGATTCCTTGGATGCACTGAACCTTATTTGGAGGGATAATCTGATAAATCATCCTTTTGAGATGGATATTCAAAACACACGAATACTTGTGTGTGCAGCTCGGGATGCTAGTTGGCACTATGCCCGTAGCGAACGTCTGCAGGTCGCCGGCTTTTTAGCCAAGACAGCTCACTTGGAGGAGGAATGCCTTATCATTTTTGATGAATTTCCTGATGTTTTTATTAACCTAGGCTTGAACCTTATTAGGTCTGTTAACTACTAGTCAAGCTTTTGCTTGCATTTTCATATTACAAAAAAGAAAGGGACTGGGAGCAAAAAAACAATTAACTTGTTAAAAAATCAGGGGGGGGGGGGAGGGAGGGAGAGAGGAGTAAAAATAGGCGGAAAGAGGAAATGATTTTAAGAGATAGAATATAATTTTAAAAAGTCACATTAGGAGGAACTTAGATATTGATAGAAAGGAAAAGGAATGATAGTTAGGTTCTGAAAACTTAAATTTAATAACAATTAGGTCCAAAAATATTTTATCAGATGAGTTGCAAACATAGACGGTGAATACTAGAGTCTCGGTTGCAAATCATTAGAACTGACACATAAGACTTCAATGCTTAATTTGGAACTGAAACTCCCATACTTGCAAATGTCAAAATTGATATTCACAATGTATCCTAGACAAAAAATTTGGAACCTAACTGTCATTTTTGGGATCTAGGTGTCATTCCTCCAAGAAAGTAGTTGGGTTACGAGTGCATGAATTTTTTTTAGCCAAATACTAGTTACACACGTAAGAATACTTTATTTTGAAAACTTTTCCTTAACGCTTCTCACGAGTGCACTTAATCGACAGAGCCATATTTGGTCCAATGAGCACCATCGAGCTTAAAGAGTAGTAGTCATAATGCGGATAACAGATGTCCACTCAATATGCAAGATGAAGTATCCAGGTCTCAGTTCAGGAGGTAGGAAAGTTAAGGCACCTGTGATTGGACCCTAGGCACACTAAATCAATTATATAAAAGAGCACCATATGATCGGTTCAATCAAGGGACCGGTGGCATGATAGCATTAACAAATGAAAAGTAGTTTTCCATGAATGGCAGTCGGTAGAAACTGATAAGTCCTCTGTTGATTGGTGAATGAACGTGACCACTTTCCGTAGAACAACTAAATCAGAAATTGCATTAATGAATGAGAATGTACGAATTTTAGTTCAAAGCGTACCCTTTGGCTCTTTTGAGGGCCATATTCAGACGGATTGAATGCGTCATAATGAGAATTATATTTCTGTCCAATCTCATAGCGCAAAATATTGAATGCCTGAAACATGGTGATTCCTCAGACAATTTTAAAAATCACCCTGAAAATAAAACCTCTGCAAACTCAACAAAAGCAAAAAACATGGTGATTCCTCAGACAATTTTAAAAATCACCCTGAAAATAAAACCTCTGCAAACTCAACAAAAGCAAAAAACTCCGAGTTGCAGATAATATAAGCCCAGGAAGGCTAGCCAAATCAACGCAACGAAGTAGTTTAAGAGTAGAAACACAAAAGTCTTGATATGACTACCTTTTTTCCCCCTTTTTGTATTTATAGTTTCTACCAGCAATAGACGCGCCTGGATTAGAACCCCCGTCATTTCCCATTTTATATAAAGTTAAATTTAAACATGATTCTATTAGCCCACCAACCTTACCAGTAACTTTATGCAAAATAACGAGAGAAAAAGCATAATAGATGAATCTTTACAGTCATGGGAGAAGATATCTGGAGCTGAAATGACCAATTTATATTGAAAACCAAAAACATAATATCACTGGAAAACAACGATATTGTTATTAGAAACAGTAATTGACTCAGGTCATGTCAAACATCTAATTTTGTAATCCCCCTGCCCCATGGCAGCTGGGGTGCTCAATTCTGTAACTTTCTGCAAAAGCAAATGCAGAAAGGAGCTCAATTCCGTAACTTTATAATCTCTAGAACATTAGCAAAAGAACTAAAAATAGAAAGTTAGAATGCATAATTTTAGAGAAGCCTGCATTATTCTGACCTCATCGTGAACGCCACATCACTACCTTAACAGTCTCAACTCTGCCCCAATTCTCCCACTAATGCAACAAATGACTCATAACAGTTCTACCAATAAACCAAACAAAAGTTCACCATCCCATAACAATTTTCTGTGCAGATTTTTCATATTTAGTCCATGATAACAAAGGCAAGAAAAACATATATAGAATGGAATCATTAGCAAATTTTCTAACTTTATTTGGAATGTGTTAAAGGAAAATTAGCAGCGGAAGTTATCCTACCTTGTCCTAGGAAAAGAAAAAGAAAAAGAAAAAGAATGCAAATGAGAAAAACAGTTCATGTAAACTTCATAATTGTCATTTTCCCCAACAAGGGAGGAAAAAGTTAGAATAAATGGTGATGGCGTTCTGAATTACAAAAATGTTCTCCTTAAGTACCTCCTCAGAGAACTTAGTCATGTACAAATATTTAATTTTAAATTTTTCTCTACAATTTCATCCCCTCATTTATTTGACATCCAAACATAAGAGAATGAATTTATATTCTACTCCCACATCTCGATTCCTCTCATTTCCTTTCTTCTCATATTCTTTCCCTCCAGATTGAGTTCTCAACGGAAAGCTCAGAAGCCACAAACGATGAGGAAAACGAAACCAAAGAACAGGTCTTGCAGAAGATACAGAAAAAAACAAGAGGTACATGCCAGTTTGAAATAAGAAAAATCCAGATAGCCCTTCCATCAGCCCAGCCCAAAAGACCTAGTCCTTTTCCCCAATATAAGCAAATTTACATTCCAAAGTAATGGACATGATTGATGAGGCCAGTTGCAAGAAAGAAAGAAAGAAAGAATTATATACTAACAGCTCTAATCACATATACAAAGTCAAACAATCATTAACTGAAGCAAAACACAAGCAAAATATATCAGATTAACCAGACAGATTTTAGGACATTACCTCTCCGTGACTCCTGGGAATCATAGTTGCTCTGGCAATTTTTTCCTCTATGACATCCAAAGTCCCAGATTTATCATCAGAAGCACTAAGAAAAACACCTGTGCTGTTTACAAAAGAAAAAAGAAATTATAAGTTTATGATATGATTGCTTTGACTGCATGACATAATATGTGTTAAGAATATTAAGGGGTCATAAAAAAATTACAAACTATCACAAATTCTTCCACAGGATAGATTTTTACATAAGATTGCAGTTGCCCCATAAATAAGCATGTAAAATATCAATATGATACCAAAACCTCCAGAATTGAAACTCTCCAAATTAGTTGTGGGCATCCCTTTTATACTTCATTCCTCCAAGCAAGCGCATACAAAACATATATGATTTGATTTCCTGGATGGAATTTTAGAGTTCAGAACGTCATGGTGTAATGTAATGATTTTGAGCACTGTGACTCAGTTTAAAATGCACTGAACTTATAAAACTTGTCATCCAAAATCTACATGCGGTCTAAAATTCCATACATCTCAAAACTTCCATACTGCTCATTATAAGGCCTAGTCTTCCAGATACGAGGTCAAAATTCACGAAGTTTCTAACAAGATGCACTCATATCTTGGTCAAAAACTCCATAATTTAAGTTAAAAGCTAGATGTGGAAGAGTAAACATTAGGAAAATTAATCTGACAGCATCTTCGCTTTTTAGGTGCTGAAATACATGATACATTTATGATTTAACTATAATCCCCATCAGAAGTATCTTGAATTTTGGAATTAACTAAGAATCTCTAGAATCCTTTAATGTGGCTAGCCTACAGCAATACCATTTTGGAATTAGCCTACATTTAACTATAATCCCCATCAGAATCATCGTGAATTCTGGTCTTAGCATTTGGATTAGCGTTAGTTAAAATAGAATTTGGATAAAATTTATTTATAAGCATCATTTTAGGTAAAATTGATTTAATCAAAATGCAGAAGCATGTGAGAGCTGCTTACGAGAAAATCCATTGTTAGGCTTTCATAATTGATTTAATCAAAATATGGGTGTTTGGTTGAGCAACTAGATAATTGATTTAATCAAAATATGGGTGTTTGGTTGAGCAACTAGATAACTGATTTAATCAAAATATGGGTATTTGGATAACTTTTAGAAAAACACATTTTGAACTTTCATAATTGATTTTTTGGGCCATCCAAACAAGCTTCATAAGTTTGGCATCTTGATTTTTTCACTAATACTAATGCGGATGGAACAAGTATTATAAACTCCGCCTATGTTTATAGCCGGTCCCAAGCCCGGGTAAAGGAGGAGGGTTGTGTTAGGCCATCAACAGCCAATGTAAAAATTTGTTGAATCTATCATGAACATAGACAATAGACGTTATAATGTTAATGCTAGGTCGTTGCCCGTAAGTAACGCGCTGCATGGCTCGAGTACAGTGATAAGTGAGTTAGAGCCGCTGCATCGGCGCCCGGATGTAGTGTTAAATGAGCAAGGGCTACCGCGTCATTCTGGACGCACGCGGCTAAAGAAGTTAGTCCATAAGAGCAAAATTAGATTTGGTACTTGGAATGTTGGGACATTAAATTGTAAATCTGTAGAGGTTGTAGGGGTTATGATTCAAAGGAAAATCAATATCCTTTGCTTGCAAGAAACAAAATGGCGTGGAGAAGGAGCTAAGGATATTCAAGGTTTCAAACTTTGGTATACAGGAAAAGTAAGTGCACGCAATGGAGTAGGCATCATTATAGATAAGGAGTGGAAGAAGAACGTTGTAGAAGTTAGCAGAATTGGAGACAGAATTATTTCTTTAAAAATGATAATTGGACGTGAGACTGTTAATATTGTTAGCGCTTATGCGCCGCAAGTCGGGACAGAAGCCAGTCTTAAGGAATTATTTTGGGAGGATCTGGAGGGGTTGATTCGACACATACCACAGAGTGAAAAGATTTTTATTGGAGGAGACTTTAATGGGCATGTCGGGAGGGAAGCTGGTCAGTATGCGAGGGTGCATGGTGGTTTTGGTTTTGGAGAGCTAAACAATGAAGGGCAAACTCTTCTTGATTTCTCATTGGCGTATGATTTTAAGATTGCCAACACTTGTTTCAAGAAGAGAGATGAGCATCTCATCACTTACAAAAGTGGAGCCTCAAGGTCGCAGATTGATTTTCTTTTGGTTAGGAACACAGATAGAAAACTTTGTAAAAATTGTAAGGTGATCCCTGGAGATGCTGTAACGACACAACATAGGGTCCTAGTCCTTGATGTGTGTATTATGAGTAAAATCCAAAAACGTCGACAAGTAGTAACACCAAAGATTAGGTGGTGGCAATTAAAAGGTGAGAAGCAAGATATTTTCAAGCGAAATCTTTTGGATAAAGGAATTTGGGATTCTCAGGGAAGTGCTAACATCATATGGGAGGATATGGCTAAAAAGATACGGGAGGTTGCAAAAGTAGTTTTGGGAGAATCGAAAGGTTCTGGTCCGAGAGATAAGGAGTCTTGGTGGTGGAATAATAGTGTACAGGACAAAATCAAGTATAAGAAGAACTGTTTTAAAGCCATACATTTGTGTAACAATGAGGAAAATTGGGAGAGGTACCGTATGGCTAAGAAGGAAACTAAGAGAGCTGTGGGTGAAGCTCGTTCCAAAGCTTTTGAAGAATTTTATAAGAACCTTGAGACGAAGGAAGGAGAGCAAAATATTTATAAGATTGCCAAGAGTAGGGAAAGAAAATCAAGAGATCTAGAACAGGTAAGGTGTATTAAGGATGAAGAGGGAAGAATTTTAGTTACAGATGATGAAATAAAAAAATAGATGGGAGACTTATTTTTCTAAACTTTTCAATGATGGAGAGGATTCATCTAGTAACTTGGAGGATTTAGTAACTGGTGAAGGAGAACAAAATTTGTCATTCTATCGAAAAATACGTGATAAGGAGGTAAAGGAAGCTCTTAAGAAAATGGCAAATGGTAGAGCTAACGGACCTGATTGTATATCTATCGAAGCGTGGAAATGTTTAGGTGAAGAAGGGGTGAGATGGTTAACTAAGTTATTTAATGTGATTTTACGGTCCAAGAAATGCCTGATGAGTGGAGAAGTACATTAATTCCTATTTATAAAAATAAAGGAGATATTCAGAATTGTACTAACTATAGAGGGATTAAACTCATGAGCCACACAATGAAATTGTGGGAGAAAGTAATTGAGCACAGGTTGAGATTGGAGACAAGTATTTCTGAGAATCAATTTGATTTTATGCCAGGTAGATCAACTACAGAGGCAATTTATCTACTAAGGGGATTAATGGAAAAGTATCGTTGTAAAGATAAAGATTACACATGGTTTTTATTGATTTGGAAAAAGCTTATGACCATATATCAAGAGAAGTGCTTTGGAAAGCGTTGGAAAAAAAGGGAGTACGGATTGCTTATATTAAAGCCATACAAGATATGTATGAGGGGGTAAAAACTAGTATAAGAACGCCTAGTGGTCAAACAAAGGATTTTCCTATAAAGATTGGACTACATCAGGGATCATCTCTGAGTCCTTATTTGTTCAACTTGATTTTAAATGTTTTGACGGAACATATTCAAGAGGAAATCCCGAAATGTATGCTCTTCGCGGATGATATAGTTCTTATAGCAGAGACAAGAGAAGAGGTTAATTGCAAACTTGAGTTATGGAGAAGGACATTGGAGTCGAAAGGTTTCGTCTGAGTAGAAGTAAGACGGAATATTTATATTGTAAATTTGGTAAAGGACTATTCGAAAATAATTTGGAAGTGAAATTGGGAGATCAAATTATACCTCAAGTGGAAAAGTTTAGATATTTGGGAGCCATTATTCAAAATGATGGCGAAATCAGTGGAGATATTTCACATAGAATTCAAGCTGGGTGGTTTAATTGGAGAAAAGCTAAAGGAGTTATTTGTGACCGTAAGGTGCCTAATAAACTTAAAGGAAAGTTTTATCGTACTGCTATCAGACCGGCAATGTTATATAGTAGTGAATGCTGGGCTCTAACGGGACAGCAAGAGCATAAAGTTGGAGTAGCAGAGATGAGAATGTTACGATGGATGTGCGGACATACACGTAAAGATAAAATTCGAAATGAGCACATACGTGAAAAAGTGAGGGTGGCACCTATTGAGGAAAAAATGGTAGAAAATCGGTTGAGATGGTTTGGGCATGTACAAAGAAGACCAAGGGAGGCACCAGTGAGAAGAGTGGAACATATAACTTTGAGTCCGATTAAGAGAGGTAGAGGAAGGCCTAAGAGAACACTCTTGGAAGTTGTTGAACGTGATCTCTTAATTAATAATATTTCTAAAAGCTTAATAAATGATAGAGCACAATGGCGTCTTGCAATCCATGTAGCCGACCCCACCTAGTGGGATAAAGGCTTGTTGTTGTTGTTGTTGTCAGTCCAGTTTATAACTATGTTATATGTACTATCCTGCATTTAAACACACGGTACCTTGTTCTAATGCCTTTTGTATTCTCCTCTGTTTCTCCCTTGCGTAACGCCAGGGTTGATGGTTTGAGGCCTGACTTTGCAGTATCAATTATGCTTTCACATTCTTCTGCACTTGCAAAATAGGAAAATATAGAGCACGCGGTTTCCAGCTCAAAACCTAAGGAATAAAAGCACGAGATACTTCATTTGAGAATCAATACAGACGAACTACTTCCACGTCAAGAAAGACTGAAAATATATATATATATATATATATATATATTTGGACTCATCCATTAATGACTCAAGTTATTGAAGTCAATTATCCATCAGAAAATATAGCTATGCTTACTGTTTGCGATTATCTTAGAAAATAGATAACGAAATAGTTTGGAAATTTCTGCTCTTACACATTAACACCGATGAAATCAAATAATAATTTAAATTAACCAAAGTCAGAGTCATCTGAAGTCCTGAACACGTTGAATTGTTGAAACAAATATTTTTGCCGGTAAGAAATCAAAAATGCCGCACCGACTCAACAGATGAAATTCAGATGTTTAACTAATCACGCGATGAAACATTTCAGCTAAAAAGTTTGAGAACGCTTGATAAACAAAATTGCGCACCTGGAAAGGAATTGAGGTAAGAGAATCATCACCGGACTCTCCAGCAGGCAACAAATAATTATCAGTCTCCACCGTCGTCGATTCAAGCAACCTCGGCCTCGGCCTCACGCCATATAGATCTTCCTGCCAATACTCATTGATATGTAACTCAGATATTTTCCAAGTAAAAAAAAGAAAATCAGAGGAAGGTATAACAAAGCAAGCAGAAAATATGATTATGATTTAGAAGAAAGACCTTAGAATGAGGGAAGAGACTAGAGCCAAAGAATCCAGCCAGAAAGAAGAAGATGCATATGAGGAAAACAGAAGGCAAGGCGAACTTCTTCGTCCTCCAGCTCCAGTTTCCTTTTACAGTTTTGGCTTTCATTTGGATTCTGGAGAGTTCTCCTCCGAAATTCGAAGGCTGAAGAGGTCCCGTTTGCTTCTCTTGCTCCCACGAAGATCCAGATGGGTGCTGGTTTGCTGATCGGCTGGGTCAGATGAATCCAGTCTTCTCAAGACTTGACACCTAGGACTATAGACTCACTGACTTTGAATTTTTTGTTATGAAATCGTCTCCCTGGGCAACGATGAATCCCCGTGAGACGACCCGAGCCGAGCTTAGTATTCTTTCATTCGTTGGACTTGGACTTGGACAGCTGGACCCCAGTGAGACGCCCTTTCTCGAATCACATTTTCAGCTCCTTTTTTAATAAGATGAGATCCGATTACCTGATATTTGCTATTTTTACTGTAAATGAGGATTTCTTATCTACTTTTCCCCATTGGAATTTTTTTTTTTTTCCTTTGAAATTTCCCCAGGTTGGTATAATCATTATAAACTTTCAAGACCAGAATCCAAAGAAGATAAATCATACTTGGTCCTTGTTAATCAAGATAAATATTTTATAATAATATATTTTATATAAAATAAAAATTGTAATCAGTTATAATAATTTCTTGAGAAATTATAATAATAATAATATTATTATTAGTCATAAAATGCGTATTTCATTTTCAGATTTTTTTTTTTTCAAATGCATGTGATCTATAGCAGCTATGATGTTTAATTTAAAACGAAATTCATTTTATAGTGAATATCTACCAAGCCAGTGGTTGGTACACTGTGCTTAGTTTTAAGATCTGGTTTATAATTTTTTTTTTTTGAAAAATCATGGTATAAATTACTCTGGTATACCGTATAAGTGTAGTATAACGGAACCGAGGACTCTGCGCTGGTTATCCTGTCAGGGATATCCGTGCTTTCAAAGAAAAATAGTTTAGTTGGACCTGCGCAATTAGGTTTTTAAGAATTCATTCATCATAGTGGGCAATTTAAAATGAGCGACTAGTGCCAGTTATCTTTCTATCCTTTTCGCAGATAATGATTGTTTGATATCATCGTCTACAACTTGAAGTTCTTTGTTTAGGGAATCTATAAATGGTCCAAGCTCTCAAAAGTTCGAAGTTTTTTTTAGCTGATTATCGATAAGTTAGGTTAAACTTTTTACTTAAAAAAAGGTCAGATATTATTTTTTTAACATACAATTAGATATTACTTTTTGAATCGAATAATTGAATACAATTTCTTATCTTCTAACTTTGTATTCATTTGCGGAGGAAGCTCCCGCGCCCTACAATGTGTATAATTTTTTTTTCTAGCACGAAGGAATCCTCAGTTTCCAGAAGAGTAAAAGAAACACCCACATTACAGAACGATGGGGCTCATGTGTATGTTTAGTTTTTAGTTTTACAAATACGTGAAGGTAGTGTTCAATGTTCATACTTGATTTAAAAAAAAAAAATGGTAGTGTTCATACTTCATAGATTCACACCGTGGAATTGCTATTCAGATTTCAGAGATTTGCTAATGTTGATGCTCGTTCCAAGCGCGTGCAAGCAACTCAAACAATGTTCCATTCTGCGTGCAAGGAAACAGCTGCCACGCTGCTTCAACGAACAGACCTCTCCCCTCCACGGCACGAGGGGAAAAAAAAACCTTTCTCAAATCACGAAAAAGCAAAAATAAAGCCCGTAATGAATTTTAGATCGGATAATATGAGCGCAAAGCCCATCAGATGAACGGTAAAGGAGAAGTCCACGTGGATGGCTTGTCCGCGCAATGAATCTGAAGCTGCCTGAAAAACTGGAAAATGTACAAATTTTTATTTCGTTGTTGTTGTTCTCCTCCACGTAAATAATATGTGGTCCTCAAATGAAAACTCTAAAATCAATAAATCTTCGCTATGAATTTGTGAGCTTAACATCGTCTTCCTCCGCCTTCCTAACAAGAATTGAATGAGATTTGGTACCAGAACGCAACCCTGCAACACTACAATCGCTTAAATTCCATAGAAGTAAATGCTCAGACTCAATGTTTACTGCTCTTTAATACCAAGTGCGAGGCAAGTCAGACCAGGAAGCAGCTATGGCTCGTTGATCATCCATAATCACAGAGCTTCCAAGCTGTCTCAGCTGATATCCATAAAGGCCATTAAAGATGAGATGGATGGAGAAACAAGCAGATCTCCAGGACGCAGTTGGGATCCTGGGCTAGAAATTGAGGTCCCTTTCGAGCAGAGACCGGTATGTATGGAAGTGGTAGTCCTTTACTTTTTCTTTTCAATTAAAGAGAAATATAGCATCCTTTTATATATGTTTATTAATTTCATTGTGGCACAAAACCATCTAAAACAATTAAACCAACCATGTCCCTTCACGGATGTTTGGTGCATCAGTGCATGCAAAGCTGAAAGTTTTAATCCCCAGAACTCTTCGTTGTTGATAAAAGAGTAAGTCGATATGCTAAAATTGTTTTCAGTACTATGATGAAAGCGCTGCTCTCACTGTCTGTGTAATAGGTAAACGAGTATTCATCTCTGAAGAGTAGTGTGCTGTATTCATGGGGCGAACTGGGACCAGGGTCCTTCTTCCTTCGCCTAGGAGGGCTCTGGCTAGTGGTGTTCACAGTCCTTGGAGCGCCAATCGCTGCTGCGAGCTTTAATCCTTCTAAAGTAAGGAAGAAGCCAAGATAATATCGACCTGATTGTTGTGACATTAGATAATGTTTTACAACCGTGCAGGACCCTGTAAGATTCATACTAGCTTCTGGAACAGGAACACTCTTCATTGTATCATTGATTGTCTTAAGGATTTATCTGGTAAGTCCAAATCCTCTCAATACTTTTACTTTCGACCATGGGCAAGGCCGACGAATGATTTAATTATTTGAGGGTGATTACTTCAGCTAATGCTATTCAACTTCAAACATCACATACGGACTATACCAAACGCCCACTTGTCATGGTGGAAGAATCATGAAATCGGAACCTAGACTTGCTAGCATGGAGTAAAACTGTAAACCTTATGTATTGTCGAAGTGAACATCGTATTTATTATTGCCAAATTATAATTTAACAAGTTATTCATCCTAAAAAGTAATGCCTTCACAGTTCACATCATAGACCATAGCTGATACATAAGGTGGCTGTAGCTAGACTCTAACGCTTTGTTATCTTTAACAATGTCCGGATCATTGAATTAATATTTAAAATTCCAGGGATGGAGTTATGTTGGTGACCGACTTCTCTCAGCAGTCATTCCTTATGAAGAAAGTGGATGGTATGATGGGCAAATGTGGGTGAAGCCGCCTGAGGTATGGTATCTCTACTTGCGTATATACCAACTTGCCCATTCATAAAAAGCTAGACTTAAGAGTGGGATCTAGTTGAAGGAAGATAAGCAATTACAGCGTGTATGGTTTCATAGTTTTGATTACTTTCAATATGAAACTAAACAGTAAACATATACTAAGTCATTTCAATTATTACACATTTCTTGATGGATCAACGCATGCTGTCAAGAAACGAAAAGTAGGGAAGGAAATCTAGTTAGCATGGGCATCTATTTATCTTATACATTCTATAAATAAATAAATATATATATATATATATATATATACAAATTAAATAATATCAAATTTCATGACACCAACGAGAAGCAGCACTGACGTACGTCACTTATCTCATTCCATGCATGGTTCGCTGAAAACTTGTCTTACCCTTCTCTGTAGATCCTGGCTCGTGATAGACTATTGGGCTCTTACAAGGTACCAATTTATGAAAAATTGTCATGGCATTTACCATTTAGTTATTACGCAAACAGATTTTGGTTGTATGCTAGAAAAGCTATATGTTAAACTTAATATTTTCCAGCTCAGGCCCTAAAAACAATCGATATTTTAAGCGTGTTTCAAAACTACATTCAAAGTTAAACTCCCATGGGTGTCCACCGATATTACCACCCATGTGCAAGCAGGGGCAATGCTTTTTTGAGAAGGATGTGGGGAAACTTTTCTGAAAATAAGTTGTTACAGAGTGTCAAAGGTTTCTATATCGACTAGGGACTTGATATTACATGTCTACAGGTTAAACCAGTTATTAAACTGCTGAAGCAAACGTTAGTGGGGATAGGAGCATTACTTGTTACTGGAGCCACGTTGTTTATCTTTGCTACACCAGTGGAAAACTTAATACAAACCTCCTTTGCCACAAAGGAAGATGCATCAAATTTTCGAGATCCAAAAGTCAGTACAAAGTTCAACTTAAGGTAAAGAACGACAAATGAAGAACCTATTGAACAATCCAGCTTATTCTTACTGTGCCCGTAACAACTGTCTAATAAATGTTGTAGAAAAGACGAGTTACTGAAACTGCCAGTAGAGGTGATAGCTGATGATGATCTAGCAGCTGCTGCTGCTGAGGCTGCTGATGGAAGACCCGTCTACTGCAGGGACAGATTTTATCGAGCATTGGCAGGTGGCCAGTACTGCAAATGGGAGGATCTACTCAAGTGAAGCCAAAAATAACATGCACATCAACCAATTTCAATTTGTTAAAGCAGCTTATGATTTCTCACTCCGTTAGTTAAAAAGAACCATTTAAAGGCGTTTGATAGATTATAAATGCAACCATATGTTGAAATAGAATGCCCAGTTTTGCAATTACACGGATCAATGAATGCCATATCGACTACTTGCAAATGAAGTCAGTGCAGGGGAAAAGAAATACATACTTTATTTATAAGAACAATGTGAACAAGAAAAGCAAGACCAATCATAGCTGTAAAGGCAGATCCACCTTTGGGGTCAATGTCTATGTAAGCAGAAGAATATTTAATCTAGCAAGGTGCCATGCCAGCCAATAGAAATGCCGAACATGTTTATCTTCCATTTTCACTGACGTTCTTCATCAACATTTCCAGGCAATGAGAGACTATTAGTTTCCGAAAAATCAGCACCAGTGTAACTTGGCTTTAGTACATTAGTTCCTGAAACATTAAAGCAACACCAGCAGCCAATCCTTTGACTCTATTCATGTTATTTTACCAACATATCCAACATCACGGGTATCACAAAAAAACATCTCAAGAAAACAAAACTCAGATGAATCCAGTAAGTTGCCTTTTAGAGTACTTAAAGAGCCCCCCGCCCAAGAGTCATTTTGTAAACATTGGCAACAGAATCAAGCATCAATTCTGCTTCACGAGTCAACTCTTCTGAAATCATTAAATAAACATTAGTAGTGAATCCATTAATCTATCCAATGATCTAGCAGTGCAATAGATTCGTTACCCAAGCAACAGGTTTCTTCATTAAACAAGTCTCTTGCACCAATGAAGGATTCTAAACAGTTGTCCTTCTACAGCTTTCCTAAATGTTTGTTTTCTTACTTTGGCATTTTCTAGATCAAGTGTCCTATATGCAAGAGCAAGTAGATACATTGCTGGATGAAGTCTCCTGCAGGTAGAAGAAACAAAAAAGTCGGTAACTTACAATGTACATGATTTCCAAAATTTTTATAAACCAGTTCAAATATCTAAGACGAATCAGAATGTGGTTTGCGAAGATGACTTGTATTACTGCTATTGAGAAAAGAAGAGGCCAAAATATCAAAGGTTAAACATCACTAAGCTAAAGTTTATTTAATAGTAGACTAACAATTCTGAATGAATTTTCAGTAATAAATATGTGAAATAAAATTGTGGGTGTGCAAGTGCCAGTCCAAACAAAGCATGTCAAATAGGCATCAAATTGTTTGACAATAAATGAGATTGAATCTAGAATACCCGATTTCACCCTATTTAATTAATTCAAGAAACTCCATGGTGTTTCCATCAATATCTTAGCATTTCTTTATAAGTAATCATTATCTAGCAATGATTGAATGAAAAAGTTTTATAAGAAAAACCTTAAGTTTTGTACCATTTAGTGGTAACTTAGAATGTCATAGCAAAAAGTGGACGCCAGAAGCAAAAAGACTCGCCTCTCAAAATGATGACCATCATCCCAGCCATCCCATAGCCTTTGTGATGTGACTATTCGGCCTTCCTTATCTTTGCCATATGTTTCAACATACCAACCCCCTATGTCATGCATTCCACAACGAGGCTCAAATAGCCAAAATCTGTCGATTAAGGGTTAAAAAATTCTCAGTTTGATTTTATACAGTATATAAGCGCATGAAAAAGTCTCTATTAAATAGAAATTGGCGGTGCCAAGAACAAATGAATATGAGCTAGAGACTGCGCCAAGGGTGCTGCAATTACAGTTAGGATCACCGATCACCATAGAGAAAGACGTTGTGAGCAATATCTACAATATTACTCCATCAATTATTGAGATGTGTAAAGCATACAATGGATTATGGAACTAGGACTTATAACATTACCAGCAATGTTTACCATATGTGTGAACAAATTGGTCCTTTTACCTCAGTATATAGCAAAACCATTTTCCATATAACTGAAATAAGAAAATGGTAAAAGCAAATTCACTTAACTATAAAAATTGATTAAAACTACAGTAAATATTTTATATCGATGGTGACCTATAGAAGAGTTTAGAAACCAACAACATCAAAACAAACTCAAACAGACCAGCAAACACAGCAAGAGGAAGATTGATGTGCATGGTTAAACCCTGGTATGTTCTCAAAAAAAAAAAAGAAAGAAAGAAAGAAAAATGCTTCTGTAGATACTTCAGTAAAATTTATAACCTTAAGAGAACAGACGTCCTTAGAATATATTCATTTAGCAGACTCCAAAGAGTTACAGAAAGATTATGTTGTACTGACCAATAATCATAGTTATTAGTCAGATATCAATTGGATCTAATCGAGGTAACAGAGATTTACTTGCTTGGTGGTAACTTCGCTCTAGTGCATCTACACTCACAAATGGAAACTTTTTCTCCAACTTGATACCAGTGCATATGCTTCACCTGAAAATACATATAGTACATTTATAGCAAGAGTCTGAAACAGAGACCTCTTTCTTCTCATATATGAAAGAATTAGTAATGATAACCAACAAGATGTAGTGGCATTGTAGAAGTAGAAAGCATTTCTAGTTATGGTAAGCCAGGAGCATTACAAACCAGCAAGGTCCTGTGTTTCATAATCACATGAGTCTTGGCCCCTATATTGTCATAGACATCACAGCAACTTTCATCTGAACTCGTCCCAAGCCCAGCTATGGTTCCTATATGAATTCGTCCAACAGCTGAACTACTTGTGAAGTAACTTTTAGAATCACAGCTGTTAGTATGCTTGGTGTATTCATCTGAATTAAGATAAACATGAATGCGATCTTCTGCTACTTCAGCGTCAGAATAGCTGCCAGGACGGACCCTGGAGGCCACAGCAACCACCCTTCCAGAGACATGCAATTCTAGATCTCTGTATGCATCTGATACATGACTTGATATTTTAGAGTCATGAATTTGTGGAATTCCAAAGTCATGTGGAACTTCTGCACTCAGGTGGATGTTTGCATCCTTTACAGATTGACATAGGCCAGGATAGAAGGATCTGAAAGAAGTTAACTTCTCATTATTAGTGGAAGATATCTCTGGATTCTTGTTGGCTAGGCAAACCATCCCAAAAAGATCACGACCTGAAACTAAGTGCAAAACCTCTGGTGTTTCACAAGAGGACCTTTCCTCAGCCTCAAAGCACTCAGGGAGAAGTTCCATTGACTCAATTTGAGGGCCAAAGTAAGCCGCATGTATTGCTGAGTAAAAATCTCTCTCAAGTACATCAAAATAGCCTGTTCCAGCTACTACCCTCTTGTCTGACAAAATATCATTTATAGCTACTCTGTACCACTTTAGCCACTCAACAACTTCCATCTCCTTGGATGTTGTTTCATGTGATCTATAGAAGTGCAATTTTGAACCCTGCCTAGTATGCTTCACCACAAGCTTTTTTTTAGACAATAGGTATCTGTCATAATGAGCTCTCTTCTTGGAGTCTGATAGAATCTGCAATACATCATACAGTATTCTGTTAATTAAGAATAAATCCTATACCAAAGAAAATCCAATTCTTATTATGTGCAATCGTGCACAGACCTTGATATCAATGGTAAGCAATATTGCTAATAGTAAAAGTCACTAGATAGTTGTTCATTTGCTAATGAGATAGATAAAACCAAAAAAATTAGGAGCCAAAACCAAGGCATACAACATCTGCAAGACAATGAACAACATTGCTGGCATTGCAACGCTTTCCAGTAACATTGATATGAAACGGGCATCAGCAATAGACTGCTATTCACATTGTATTGATGTCATGATGAGCTCGTTCTGATGCATTGTTCAGCTAATAGATTTTCTTCTGTCTCTAAGATCTAATCAAACTAGTTATCTAATGGAAATAATAATACAGACTGCATGATGGTCGTTATTACTAATTTATTTTTAAACTTTGATAGAAGCTTCATCTTTGCTTAATCTTTGGTCATGAATTTTACTTGTTTTTCCATGCATTACAGGAAATTTAAATTCTGCACCATCCATGACTCATGAATTCTACAATTTTCTATACATGTCGTAACACGCGCGCGCATTTTATTCATATGTTGATATACTTGCATATTTATATCCAAAATGAAAACCAACATGTCAAGTAACTTAGGATTGTAACACCTAACACTTCCATTTTTAGATTTCCCAGTAAGAACTGTACCCAAAAATGTCCCAATAACATTTTGTTGAATTACATTCATTTCAAACGAAGTGAACAAAGCACGGGTGCGAACCAAGGATATTATAATTATCACGACAATTTCCAAGGCCTCATCAGTTTAAGAATTTAGTTCATTCCTGACGAATTCAATTGAGCATAGGAGGCCCTGAGCACAACCTTGGTGTCCTCCAAAAAAAACTGAGCATAACCTTACGCAACCACATAAGGGAAATAATTGTGCTTGGCGTAGAATTAAATAAGTTGCCTGGTGGAATTTAATAGTTTTGAATTGAAATATTAACACGGCACCTCGTAGGCGGCCAGGATTTGCACAAATCGTCGCGACGCAGATGAATCATTATTTGATTCAGCAAGGTCAGGGTGAGTTTCCTTGGCCAATCTGCGAAAAGACGCTTTGATCTCAGCAAACGAACTGGTCTGTGACACTCCTAACAGCTCGTACGCATTTTCCGCCGCGAAATCGGTCCCAGCTGACTCTGAGTTGCTACTGAAACCCTGAACTCTACAAATTGGACACAGGAACATGCGATAATGCGTTGACTCATTGCAGTGTGGTATTAATGATATTTGAGAAATTGGCCGCCAGTGATTGATTCCGACGGATCGATCATATCCGACAAGGAAAGCCAGATTTCTTCCTTTGGTTTCGCTGTTAAGTGAACGAATTTTAGTACCAAGAGCAGATGTTGCACATCCCGTAGTTCATGAACAGGGAGCGGAGTGGAAGAAGTGTTTACGTTATCTGAAAAACGTCCGGATGCGATTATTCGATCACCGAGAAGTGCACTAGGCAAAGGGTGGCCATATTTGCCTTTTAGCTATTTTGAGATGCCTGTGCACTTTGCAGCCAACGGGGATCCCGTGACTGTAATTTCAGGCTTTTTTAACTGATATACTATAAATATTAAAAGAAATTATTTAAATGCTGAACCATCACCCTCAAAAATATTTATTAAAATACTATATTAAAAATCATTCAGGCTGCAAATAAGTTCATGGTTGCAGGGAAGTCAGTTAAGTCGAGAATATTTTTTTAATCAACAATTATTTTTTTATTTAATTAAAAGTAAAATTATTCAAGTCAATAATGATTTCAACTTTTTTTTATTGACGTGGCGTAATATTTATAGTTAATTATAATAATTTTTTATTTTCTCTCGTTGTTATCATCACTCTTTTTCACCCTTTTCAAACTTATTCAATTTGAATCTTATTATATATTACCTTCATTGTCATCCCTTCTCAACTCACCCACTCTTACTCATTTTAAATCGTTCATACCTTTATTTGAAATTCCTACACTATTTTTTGGCTAAATACAATACTTCTACTTTTAAATATAGTATACTATTAAATGAAACATGTGTCACCCCTGGACGATCAATTTTTTTAGTTGAATAATGTTGGTTTGATTTAAATATATTGACTCTATAAATAAATGAAACACTTGAATTTTAAAAAGAGAGTAATATACAACAACAATAACGATAGCCACAATTTATGAGAAGAAGAAGAAAAAGAAGTAGTATCAAAAGTCATTATTTATGAGGTATATTAATTTCCACTCTTCCACTGCATAATTTAATCATTTATTATTAATTTTTGTAAAACCTAATAATTATTTATTTATTATTGGTAATTTTTAATTAAATACACCTTATAATAATTTCTTAATTATATTAGTAACATCGTGTAATTATTAACATTTTCCTCTTCAATTATTTACTCGTTATTTTTATTCAAATAATTACTAAATCATTAAATAAATCATTTATTGCAAGGATGAGATTTAGACATTGTTCATGTCAAGAATAAGTTTTGCTGCACTTGAGATTCTATATTAAAGAAATCGTTCATGGTGTAATTAATTTTGAAAATTGTTCAATATAATAATGATTTTAGATATAGTATTTTGAAAAATAATTTTCATAGCATAGCATCTTAGTTTTTTTTTTTTATCTGTTTACAGTATCTCTGTTAAAAAAATGTAATTGCACATCGCAATTTATAGCAAAAAGGAACTTTTTTTTTGCATGAAAAAGATTATTAATTTATACCATAGGATTAGGGGATTAAAATATAATGTGTTAAAATATATTTTTATTCTTATATTCTTTTAAATATATTATTTTTTAGGGGTTGATATTTTAATTTATTTTGTAATAATATCTAGAATAATTTATTTTAATTTTTATTATTAATTAAAAATGATTTTATAATAGACTTGATAAAAAAAATTAAGAACAAATAATTTATATAACTTGAGAAATCAAAAGTAAAAATATCATTATTTTTATCATGATCAATATTTTAACTTGAAAAGTTTTCGATAATAAATTTTTCAAAACTTTAGAAAAAAAAAAAGCTTGGCAAAGAATATATAAAAAGGGAAAAACTTGGTCAAAGTTGTTAAATTTGTGAGTTTAAGTAAACTTATGACAAAGACGTAAACTCATAAGAGTTACTTCTATTAATAAATATACATTAAAAGTATATGATTAAATAATTAAAATATAAAATATGATATAAATTATTAAAATTAATTCAATTTTCATTAATGAATTATTATACTTGATATAGAAATTTTAAAATAGGGAAACTTATTTTTAGCATTTCTTATTTTCTTTTTTGCTAATATTAGTTTTTTCTTCTTGAATTTAATTTTTCTTTAAACAAGATCATACTGCTTCTATAAGCTGAGTTATACACTGCATATACCTAATTCACTCAACTCAGTAAAAAAAAAAATCAATGAGTTTGGCAAGTTTGCATTTAGTCTAGGATTATAAATGAGTTGACATAATTTTGTAAACTATAAATATAAAAATAGTAAACTCGTAAAGTCAATTCATGAATTTAATCAATTTTATATTTAGCCAAGTTTATAAGTTAGTTAATACAATTTTATAAGTTAAAAACGTAAAAATGATAAACTCAAAAAGTTAACTCGAGAGTTTAATAATAAAACTTAGGGTGTTCATGTTATGAGTTCTATATTGGAGAGCCTCACAAGATAACTAGAGTTTATAAGTTCAAATAACTCTCCCACTTAAGGAACTAATTTTTTGGAGTAGGCTTCCCGTTGGGGCTTATGCTCATGACAATTTAATTCTAATTGAATCAACACATGTATATTATTTATAAATTATTTATTTCATGAAAAACTTTTGTTATTAATATCATTATAGAATCTACTTATTTTGGTTTGATTAGATAGAAGTATATTAAGTATATAAGAGTAAATATTTAAATTTTGTCCTATAAAAATCAACTTTTTCATGATTTAGAAAAATGGTTGATAATAAATATTAAAAGAAATTAAAAAATGCATTTATATTTTATCTACTACTAGGTAATAGAGATAACTAAGAGTAATTGAGGGGTCAAAGTAATATTTTTCTCCTTCAAAAAATATTTCCTTAACACAATAAAGAAATAAAAAAAAATTCCCGGAGGAGGGTTTTCCATAACGCAGGATCATCTCTGCCCTTCCTAGTTCCCGCCCGTTAGTAATCAACATTTGTTTTAATGAATAGATCAAGATTGCACGGCCACATTCTAAAAGTCTCAGCATTTTCTTATTACGCGTGTACCCCCATCCATCCCTACATCACTTGCTAAGACCATGTTTGGTAGAAAGCATTGGAAAATTGGAATTAATGTTGAGAAAACACACTAATAGTGCCTGGCACGATAAATTCGCTTGAAAGCAAAACCTATAGCTGAAAGTATAAACGAGCCTAACCTTTATAAGTTTATAAGTATGCGGGCAAGCCTAGCCTTTAAGAACCTAAGTCTTTAAGCTCAATTATATATTCTTATTTTTTTTTTAGGCTTGGCCCTTATATAAAAGGTTTAGGGCTGGACCTGAAAGCCCTATTAAAAAAATAAAAAATTAAAATAAAATTAAATATTATAAATTAATTAAAATATTTTAAAATTAAAAAAATTAAAATCTATATAATATTTTAAAAATTAAACAATATATTTAGAAATTTAAACAACATATATTCATCAATCAAAACCCAAATCCTCCTCATCCTCGTCATTTATAAATAAAATATTAGATCCCTCAGATGTAAGTGTATTTGTTAAAGATGGAGGTGAAAATTCAATATCAATTACCTTTACAACTTTTTCTTCATTATTTATAATAAAAATTAACCAAATCGTGTCATTATCAATCAAATATATATATCTATATATATATAAAATAATCAGGCTTATCAGAGTTTGGAAGGCCGCCCAGGCCCAAGCTTTTTTTTACAGGACTTATCAGGGTTAAGCTCTCAAGCCCGGTTCATTTAAAAAATAATTTTTAACGCTCAAATACTTATTTAAACAGAGCCTATAAACTGACCCTTATTCCCAACTCTAGCAAAATCTATATAGATGGAATTGAAACTTTTTCAGACTAAAGTATCCCCTTATTAGCACGTGTGCATCATATGTTCCCCCTTTCTCTGCTTCCCCCCACCCCCCGCAAAAAAAAAAAAAATCTCATTCCTCAATCGAGATCCTAATTATCATACGTCCTTAATTAATTTCTCTAGTCCATCTATATAAGGGGAAAAGATTCTTTACAGGATAAGAACAAGACATATATGAGATTAGGCCTGTAACTACCATGAAGAGTTAAGACCGGCTGGATAATATAAAGTTGGTATGATTAAGCGAAGGCTACTCCGGACACCATGATCAGGTGCTCGCCAAGCATAATGGCAGTGATAATTTGGTTTGGATTTTGATTATAATGGGATGCAGTGATAAAATAAGCAAGTTCTGCCAAGTCGAGAAGAATGATAGGCTTCTATCATTTCTTCCATTTCACTACTATTGCATTGGTTCCACCTCCTTTTCTTCTAGACATCTAATGATTTGGATTTATGACTTATGAGTGCCAACTATTTAAGTAAACAAAACAAAATCAAAAAACAAAAAATGTCTCTTTCTATTTAAGCCACTCAGATGGGCACATCACGTCTGATAATGACACTGCTGGAAAAATTGGCAAGTTCCAATCGTTCTTCACAAATAATTAACCAGAGATGTAGCATAAGAAAAAAAAAATTGGCCACTTGATTCTTACTCCTTCAATTTAAAAATATAAAATATTTTTAATTAAATTTTATCTCGTAATAAAATAATTATTTACTTTCAAACTAACTCTATTTTTTTATATTTACTCCTATTAAACACTTTACATAAACATAAAGTCATTATCAATAGACTTATTTTTAAAAAAGTACAATGATTACATCTCAAAAGACTAAAAATATTTTATATTTTTAAATATTTAACTTTTCAAAAAATGTCTTACATTTTTAAATGAAATGAGTAAATTTTATACCTATTTACATAAGTTGATAGCTTCTATTAAAATTTAAAGCTATAGCTAATAATTTTACAAACTAATGCGCAGGTTTAAATCCAAATTTTAAGTATGATCTAACTAGATTTAAAATCGATAAATCAATAAACTATATTTACTAAAATAAGTTAAAGTTATGATAAATGCATATCTTCACTGAAAAAGAATTGATGTGGCATTTAACTAGATGGATTTAGATTTTAAATTTAAAATCTCACTTTCAACAATTATTTTTGTCCAGGCATATTTATTCCTGAAAAAAGGCATAGTATATTGCAACTGAGATAACAATTTAAATGTGATCAAAAACCCTTTTTAAAAGATATTTACACCAAGAATACAGTAGACAACTTAGATGCATTCCCCAGTTTGTGCACTTGAACATACCCGCTTCATTTCATTCTTAACTCAAACTCCAATGATATGTTTTGAAAGGCTAATAAAACTCTTAAGTCTTAATCTCTTAATTTATTTTA